AAAGAAGAGAAAAGGCAGAAGTAGAGACCCAGCAGCCGTGGACCCAAGCAAAACGCAGGATGGAAAATGGAAAGCCCACTGACTTACCCATAGGAAAAACCAAGAAAAAGTCGCATCAAGAAAAGGCCCATAATTTAAGCGCAAGTAAGGCCCACTGTCAAAGATGGGCATAGCCCATTGCTCGACCTCGACAGTAAAGGTGGGCAATGTGTTGGTCCTAGGGGGTGTTCAAACGGTGTGGTTACCATGGTAATCGTTTTAACCAGTACTATTTAGATAATTTGGTTTGGTTAATTTGGATAATTGATTTGGTTTGGTTAAAGTTCTTAGCTTGTTTGGTTTAGGTGGTTTGGTTTGGTTTCAGACACTCCTAACCAGCCAACCAAATTAACCAGATAAATAATTAGCCATATATCTAATATATACACATACTTAATACTTTGAATAACCACTCAAGAGTTAAACGTTCATCCATTTTAGACTCATAAAATATAAAGCTTGATATTGTTCCTATAATGTATATTTGTATATGTAGAGTGTCGACCACAACATATGAACGTCTAGTTTAGATAAATCTCATACATTATGTTGGATGAAAACTTGAAAGTAAGGTCCTTTTCAGCTTATTAAAATTGGTAAAGGACTAAGTCAATTCAAACAAACACAACAATTCATTAACTCATACTATTGTGATAAATTTTTGTTAGGTGAATACTTCTATACTAACCGTAAGATAAATTATCTTAGTTGCATGTATTTATGTTAAGGGTCAACTATAACTATGTGTTGATTGTTATGTTTTATTCATTATATAAATTGTGAATCGATAAATTAACCGAAAACTTTCTCACTTAATGATAATGTGATTTTATATTGGTTAATCTGGTTAACCAATTAACTAAACCGATTAAACTTTAGTTTGGTTAATTTGGTTGTTGTATTAGTTTGGACGGTTTGATTATGATATTGTATTCCATGGTTAATGAAATTTAGCTTTATTTGGTTTGGTAATAACCATGGTAACCATTTGAACACCCCTAGTTAGTCCAGTACCACACTGTACCAAATTAATGCTTGGACCGGACCACATCAAATAGAATATATTATAGTCCGATAGTTGGTCCCATGAATTTTATATATAATGAAGAAAAACAATGTGGACGGAATGCAATATTAATCCGGTCCCTTGATCCTAAGATATCTTTCACTATTGGATCGTGATTCTCTTGATTTTGGCATGATCCAATCCACACCCGACCGGTGCCCAACCCTACTGTCACGGTCCTTGAGCCTAATTGGTGACACTACTCGACGGTAATGAATGACGGAGTGGAGTAGAAATGGGTTGAACTGTTTGAAGAAGTTCAACGTTTATGATACATATTCAACTTGTAACTGAAATAAAACACCAATTCTTCCCGACATTGTAGTACTTGTGCTCCACAAATCCCACATTCTCAAAGGATGAGTTACTTGCCATCAAACATCACACATCAACCAATAATTACATTGATCACAACCAAAATTAAACATTTCAGATGAAAACTAGCTAAGAAGACAACCCTGTTCCAACCCAGATTACGGTTATGAACAGCAAGGCCATCGCAGCACCAGACTTCATAAACAATGAGATCGTCCTGCCAGGAAAAAAAAAACAGTTCGTAATCGATCAATCATAGCTAAATTCTTTTGAAAGATGACAAATACTTACGAAAGTACTGTGCACGTAGACAGTAAAAGGGCTTTTAGGGGGAAAAAACCAACCTTGCCCCATTCTGCACATACTCAACGAATTCATCCATGGTCATTGGAGCTACGTAAAACGGTCCATAGATGCCGCGTGGACGCTCAATCCAAACTCTCCCACTGTCATCTTTCACAGCCTTTCCTTAAAATCACATCACATGCAGCCATGCAACAATGGAGATAAGGAACCACGCCAACAGATAAGCATTTAGAGCACTTCTACTATGCTATATAGCATTGGTGCTTTAATGTACAACTTAAAGTTGTACCATAACATTAAATGTATAAGTTTAGATTGTACCATAAAGCAATTTGTACCATTACGTTATGGTACAATTTTACAACTTGAAGTTGTACCATCACATAAAAGTACAAGTTCAAGTTGTACCATAAAAGAATTTGTACAAAACGTATAGGTACAATCTGAAGTTGTACCACAACGTAAATGTACAATTTTAAGTTGTACCATAAAAGAAAAAACCTATAGCACCGATACTATATAGCATTGTAAAATTTCTCAAGCATTTAAACTAGGAATGGCAATGAGGTAGGTCCGGTTTTTGGGAGGGTATCTCGATACCCATTCATGTTCTGCGGTAGGTAGGGTAATTTATTATGGGGCGCGGATTGGGGTAGGTTGACCTAATGAGTATGTAATTTATGTGAAAAAACATTAGAAATATTCGTTATTTTTTTTATTAAAATACCAAGTAAGAAACCATAATATGATAAAATGTAGTTAAATTATTGGAGAAATTGAGTTTTTCACTTATTTGCCACTTTATTATAGCTCTAAGAGGAAAATTCTAAGTAATTTTACTAAGATTATATGTAATTTAGACAAGAACGAGTCGAGAATGGAGCGGGTCAGGGCAAGTCGCGGGTCGACGAGAGGTATTTATGTTGTTCCTGCATGCAAGCTATAAGTATTTGAACTTCAGAACAATACGTTTCTCACCTTCCCGGCTACAGTTAAAGAGGTACCAGTTTGGAGGAGCCACTCCATTCGCTTCACTCCAAAAATCTGCAAAAACAACAACAATGTAAATTGAAGTTCTTAATAATTAACAAAGCTCGAATCGTATTGCGGTTAAAAACAATATACAAAGAGAAGCTGCAAATAATAATACCTTGGGGAGTACTTTTGAAAGGGTATCGGTTGAGATAGCAGACTGTCTAGTTCAGCCACTTCGAGCGACTGAAAACAAAAACAAAAAAACCAATGTTTGGATTCCTTAACAAAGCTGGCTGGTGATCCGAAAATGGTGAACACGTAACTGGTTACATATATCTTAAACGACAGGAGAAGCTACGTGCTGCTACAAACCTTGATCAGTTCTGCTGCCCTAGCCGACTTTTGAAAGGAAGCCCCTTTTCACGGTCAAACGGAAACCAGATGCACCACGGGCTTCGCGGACGAAGACACACTGACCAGTTCCATCATCCTGTCGAAGAAAATTTGTTGATGCATTGAATCAAATATATTAGGGGAAGGAGAAGGGTTCTTCTTCCTAGGGTTTACTAGGACATGTATGAAGGTGGTGTTCTTCTGAGTTAAAAGACGAGAGAAACCAGGAGATGAGATAGGGTTTGAGGGCTATCTCTCTAATTCAGGTCCAGGAGTTTCCTTGGGAACAAAGACAAAACAGAAAAGAAAACTAGTCAAAAATCTCGGACACTAATCCCTCCGGTCAGCCTCCACAATGCTTAGAAATAGTCCAAAATCGCAATTTTAGTTTAAAAATGACGCTTTTACACTTATAGGTCATCAAAACAACATTTCTACATAGAATCACTATTTTCACTAATAAGTGCAGTCAAAATCTACGCTTTAAAGTTTAAAATTTTTACATTTTTATACTTCTAGGTCGCCGGAACGGTTGGCTTCTATGTAGAAATTGGAGAAATCAATAGATAAGATAGGGTTTGAGGGCTATCTCTCTAATTCAGGAGGATGAGTTTCCAATGCAGTCAAATTCGCTATTCTATGTTGAAGTGTATTAGTGATCTAAAAGCATAAAAACGTAAACTTTCAACATGTATAAATTTTGACTACACTTATAAATGAAAATGACGATTCAACATAAAACCGTTGTGGTAACCTGCAAGTGTAAAAGCATAAACTTTTTCAAGTTTTAAATCGCGATTTTTTAACTGTATTGCTCAGAACTAACTTAATTGCTTACGTAGTAGTAGGAGAAACTAGTCTTGTTCTTAAAACACAAGTATTCCCTAATCAATTACTACCTGCCATAAGAACATAGACCCAGATTCTGAGTCTAGGAGGACAAGCTAACCAACTAGTCTTACTCACCAGGTACCATGGCACCTCTTTATGCATCAATGGCATCGAGACTGAATCTTTAATCCAAAACCCATCATCCTTCTTCCTTTGATAATGTACTTCAACCTAAATACAAGCAAGAAAAATCCATGCATACTTATAACATCAGCAGCAGCAGCAGCTATGGAATGTCTATCTATACGTATAGGAGAGCTAGGGTTAGGGTTTATAACCTGCTCGTCCACTACAACACCTTGGAGGTCGCTCAACTTGCAAGTTATGGGTTTCGTGGATCCAAATCTTCCCGATACAGCGACAATCAGAGTTTGTTGGTCTCCATCTTGAGCGTCGATAAGATTCGCTGTTTAAAGCAAACCCTAAGTTGAAGATATACACCAAATCCAGCCATGCCGTTGAGGTGAAACGAACTGAAAGAGAGCAAAATTTAGTACCCAATTCGCTGCATCTGCGTACGGTGGCAGATTTGAGAAACTCGGCATACCACAAGCCAAAGCCGACGGGCACCGACGATGCAACCGATTCCCAGTATTTCATCGGCGGGCGGAACTTCCGGCGTCTTCCAAACAAAGCCAACCATATAATGATGAGAGTAGTTTTTTTTCCGTACAATCCAACAAAGCAAGATGAATCAAGCAATATGGAAAAACCGAAAAAGAGACTCCACTGCCCGTTCCCTACCTTCACAAACACTACTCTCTCGCCTCTTACACTCGAGTCTCAACGAAGAGCAGACCAAAGCATTAAAGGTGATACGTGCATGACAAGGAAAAATCCCAAAGAAAAATCCTCAGTTTTATTATCTTTTTCGAAGTCTAACTCGCTGTTAGTTTTAATTTTATTGTTGATTGACCTACAAGTAAGGGTGCACTCCTCAATAATAGGGTAGACTCATCTTTCTCTCTTTTCTCTCTTTCTCCTCCCCGTTACACTTGACGGAAAACCCTAATTCATGGACTCGGTACAACAATGCCAGAACAAAATCAACCCACCCAAAACCCTCTCCCTCCCGGCCGCCGCCGCCGCCAATACCTCCATCTCCGACCTGCCGGAGCCGCTCCTCCACCGAATCCTCACCGTCCTCCCTCCCCGGCACATCGCCCAGCTCTGCACCATGAGCAAGAGGCTCTACTCCGCCTGGAACTCCATCCCTCACCTCGACCTCGACCAAACCGCGGGACAAAACCCTTCATCGCTCCCCAAATTCCTCTACTACGTCTACTACACCTTACACCGCCGCCCACGGGGTAACAACAAGCTGGAGAAGCTCCGCCTCTGCTCCACCGTGAAAGATTACGCCGACTACTACCTCTACCACGACGCCGTCGACTACGCCGTAGCCGACGGCGTCGAGGAGCTGAGCCTCGCGCTCTTCTGCAGCGTCCTCCACGACTTGCCCGACTCCCTGCTGGGAGCCGGATCGCTGAGGGTCCTCCACCTTACGGGATTCAGATGGGAGGACCGCGACGACTGCGGCCGCGGTCTGACCCTCAGCTGCCCTCTGCTGGAGAAGGCGAGCTTCTTTTTTTGCGATGGGTTTGGGGACATGAAGATAAGTTCCTGCCACAGGCTGGAGGAGGTTAGGGTTGTGAACTGCCGCGGGTTGAAGAGCGTCTCGTTGGACAACTCTTCGTGCTCGAATCTGAGGATCCTCGACATCGAGTTTCCGGAAGAGGAGGGGGTCGTGGTAGTAGTAGCCAAGTTCAAGGAAGGAATGGTGTCTGAGAAGTTGCTGTTTAACAGTGGGTGGTTCTCTGGTGGTGAACTTTGGCGTTGGATTCCGAAATAG